GTATACGCTCAGATGACGCTTCAACCGGTCCCTTCTGTAATCATTTACTGCTCTCGCTTACTCATTCTTTGCATCTCCTCTTTTTTGTTTTTTTTTTTCACACTGTTCTAATCGTCTCTTCGCATTGCAGTTCGACAAGGATGCTCTGTTGAGATCGGATCTTGCTCTCAAGTCCACCAAGCCACAACCCGACTTCTTTTGTAAACAGCTCACCGCAAGTGATACCAGCACTCACGGAGGTTTCTCAGTGCCCCGTCGTGCCGCCGAGAAGATTTTCCCTCATCTTGTACGTCTCTCTACTCCCCACTTACGTTTTCCAACCTCTCCGTCACAACTTCCTCGCCTTTTCTTTCATCTCATTCCATTCCCGTTTCCTGTAGGATTATTCTATGCAACCTCCTGCGCAAGAACTCGTCGCCAGGGATTTGCACGACAATGTTTGGACATTCCGCCACATATACCGTGGTATGTATGTCTCACATTCCACTCGCTTATCCTCTCATTTCTGTATCCCCTTTCTCACATAAATCTCGTCTCATGACGCTCTTTCCCTAGGACAACCAAAACGGCACTTGCTTACTACTGGATGGAGTCTATTTGTCAGCGGAAAGAGGCTATTTGCCGGAGACTCTGTTTTGTTTATAAGGTCGGGGTTGTAAACTCACGCCTCTTCCACTTTTCAAATTTCTCTGCAAATATGTTGAAGCTTTTATACCCTTTTAAGCAAACAACTTATTATTTTCACTATGTTTCATCATTTTAAGTGGTTCTGTCTCGCAGAGATGAAAAGCAGCAGCTTCTTTTGGGTATCAGACGAGCTAACAGGCAACCCACCAATATATCTTCGTCAGTACTATCCAGTGATAGTATGCACATTGGAATTCTTGCCGCAGCGGCTCATGCAGCCGCAAACAGTAGCCCCTTCACCGTCTTTTATAATCCTAGGTCCTGCATTTTTCACATCCTTTGTTTTCATTTCGCAGTATTTATATCAATGCATAATTTCTTTGATTTCTACTTTCCTTACTTGTCTGTCTAATCGGATTTCAAAGGCATAGATTAGCTACTTTGTTTTGAGTCCCATCTTCTCAATCGTAAAGTTTTGAACTTGTGTTTCTTTTGCTTGCAGGGCTAGTCCCTCAGAATTTGTTATTCCTTTAGCCAAGTACTACAAGTCGGTGTACAGCCACCAACCGTCACTTGGCATGCGTTTTCGAATGATGTTTGAAACTGAAGACTCGGGAACGAGAAGGTACGTCATTTTAATTAATTCTATGGAAAGCGTTTACAGTAAATGTGTAAATGATTAAATTAAAAGTAATGTCTTCATGAAGTAAACATCGAAACGTGGGTGGTGTCTTGAATTTAGTTTGTGCTTGAATTTCTGTTTATTTATTTCTCAATCTAGATTAATTAGAATTGGCAACTTATGTAGCACTGAAGCAGCAGATACTTTACAGAAAATAGATATTATACTTGGAAATGGTTGACAATAAAACGTTCAATTAATCAATTCAATGGTATTGCAGGTATATGGGTACAATTACAGGTATCAGTGATCTGGATCCTGTGCGATGGAAAAGCTCTCAATGGCGAAATTTGCAGGTACCATTACCAACATCCTTTAACATTTCATGAATCTAATTTTACCCAGGAGATTTTTGTTTTCGAACTGTCTTTCTTTTCTTTAATCTGTGTAAGTAATGGTTGTTTAGTTTTACATTTCATTGGTCAGGTTGGTTGGGATGAGTCAACTGCCGGAGAAAAGCGTAGCAGGGTCTCAATCTGGGAAATCGAACCAGTAACTGCTCCATTTTTCCTCTGCCCGCCTCCATTCTTTAGATCCAAGAGGCCAAGACAACCTGGAATGCCGGGTAAATAGTTATACTGAGGAAAATTGAATTTGGTTTGATGATTGGAAATATATAGTTCATTCGGATACTTATGTTTACCTTTGCAGATGATGACTTATCTGATTTTGATAACATTTTCAAGCGGACAATGCCTTGGCTTGGTGATGAAATGTGCATGAAGGATCCCCAAGGTCTCCCTGGCCTGAGCTTAGCTCAATGGATGAACGTGCAGCAACATCCTGCACTGGCTAGCTCGTTGCAGCCAAATTTTGCACCTTCCTTACCGGGATCTATTTTGCAAAATATTCCTGGGGCTGATATATCTCGGCAGCTGGGATTTTCCGCTCCACAAATTTCTCAGTCAAACAATGTAGCCTTCAATACTCACAGACTACTTCAGACTGCTCAACAGCTGGATCAACTTCAGAAGCTACCATCTACATCTAGCACATTAGGAGCAGTCCTGCCACCACAGCAACAGTTGGGTGATATCAGTCAACAATCAAGGCAGAACTTGGCAAATCAAACTATACCTCAGAGTCAAGTTCAGGCCCAACTCTTGCATCCCCAAAACATTGTCCAAACCAACAATATTCTTCAACAGCAGCAACCATCCATTCAAAACCATCAAATGCATAGAAGCCTCTCTCAGAATCCATCACAGCAGCAGACAATTATAGGTCAGAGTCAACAACAAAGTTTGATCCAGTCCCCTATCCCTGATCATGTTCAACAATTACAGATGTCCGACAATCAGATTCAGTTGCACTTGTTACAGAAGCTTCAACAACAAAAACAAACGCACTTGGCACAGCAAACAGTGTTGCAGCAGCCTACTCAGCTTACTCAAATCCAGGATCAGCAGAGACAGATTTTAGATAAAACACATAACTTGTCTAGAGCACTAACACCTGGTCAAGTTCTAGAAATACCTCCTATGCTTCAAAATTCACTGCCTGAGGCTAATTCTATCTCTAATCAGATCACAAAGGCTAATTTCCAGAACAGTATTCAATTCCCTCAGCAGCCCAAGCTTCAACAGCAGCAACCTGGCTTGCTGTCTGAAATGTCTGGCCACATGGGACTTCTTCCTACCCCTACTACAAATAACCAACTTTCTGCTGCTGGCAGTGGTATACTGAATGGAGCAGCTGGGGCAGGGCAATCTGTAATTACTGATGATATTCCATCTTGCTCGACCTCGCCTTCTGCAAATAACTGTGCCAGTGCACTTCCACCATTGATAAATTCTCGATTGCAGAGAAACACAATAGTAGGGGATGACATGGCTCAGTCTGCTTCAACAATCTTGAGTTCAAGTGCGTTAGAAACTATGTCATCAAATGCAAACTTGTTGAAAGATTTACAACCGAAGTCTGAAGTTAAACCTTCTCTGAATATTTCCAAAAGTCAGAATCAAGGGCATTTTGGCCTTCAGTCATACTTGAATGGTAGTGCTGTCCATACTGATTGTTTGGACACATCATCTTCTACAACATCAGTTTGCCTTTCTCAGAGTGACGCTCATATGCATCAGAATAATAATCCATTAGCTTACAATCCACATCCTATGTTGTTTAGAGACAATAGTCAAGATGGGGAAGTTCAGGCAGATGCTAGGGGCCATATTCCATATGCCAACAACATTGATAGCCAAATGGGAATGCCACTGAATCCAGATTCCCTTTTAACCAAGGGCACATTGGGGTTGGGGAAGGATTTGTCTAATAACTTCTCTTCAGAAGCCCTACTTGGTAATTATGAAAATAACAGAGATGCTCACCAGGAACTTTCATCTTCAATGGTTTCACAGTCATTTGGAGTCCCTGATATGGCCTTCAATTCAATTGATTCCACAATAGATGATAGTAGCTTTTTGAATAGGGGTGCATGGGCTCCACCAGCAGCACCGCCTCCACCACCTCTGCCACCAGCACAGTTTCAGCGGATGAGGACGTATACCAAGGTTTATTTTTTGTTTTTATGGTTATTTTAATAATAGAGTTTCAGCAGATGAGGATATATGTCTTGACGATATGCGTGTTTGCTTTTCAGTTTTAACAATTTTTTTTAACAATTTTTTGACAACAGATTACTATTTTATTGGTCCGTATATTTTAAATGGACCAATCATAAGCTATCACATATGTTGTTGTAAAAAAGTTGTTAGAGAGATATTTTCCTATTCTAAATTACCTTTTTTTCTTTTGGCCCTTTCAGGTATATAAACGTGGAGCTGTGGGAAGGTCCATAGACATAACGCGGTATTCAGGTTATGAAGAGCTTAAACAGGATCTAGCTCGTAGATTTGGAATAGAGGGGCAGCTGGAGGATCGGCAGAGGATAGGTTGGAAACTTGTCTATGTAGATCACGAGAGTGATGTTCTACTGGTGGGAGATGACCCTTGGGAGTAAGTCCAACTGTTTCCCTTTTCTCATTGGTTTGTCTTTTTGCATGTTCATATTCCTGGCTGGCAAGCCATAATGTTCCGTAGCTTTCGTTGACCTCGGTAGCCTATGGACCAGAAAGTTTTCTTCCACAGCTGACGCATTTTCCTCATTAGTATAATATAACAAATAATGTACCATTGTTCAAGTTGGTAGGCTTGAAGCGATCCACAACCCATCCCAGCTATCAACTTGTGTTACCAATTTGACCATGAGTATCATGACAAGTCAAATGGATATGAATGTCTGGCAATTTGCCTTAGCAATTTTCAGCCTTTAATATTATGGAAATTAAGAGGAAAGCCAATTGCATTTTTTAGAATGGCTAAAATTTCAGATTCCAAAAGAATTGGACCAATATGTTTAAATTTAGAAAAAATCGTAAAACCTTAAATTTTTGTGATGGCAAGATTTGGTATCTTATTGTTTGTGATGGGTATTTCAGGGAGTTCGTGAACTGTGTCCGCTGTATTAAAATACTTTCTCCTCAAGAAGTGCAACAGATGAGCTTGGATGGAGATTTTGGCAATGGCGGCCTTCCAAATCAAGCCTGTAGCAGCTCTGACGGTGGGAATACCTAAATGAGAGTCAAATAATACACTAACAATTCTTGCATAGTGGTAACTTAGATTATTTCTGGAGATACATTATGATCCCAGTTCCCAATGGCAGTTATTTTACTACTGGGAACGTAAGCGNTTGCCGGAGACTCTGTTTTGTTTATAAGGTCGGGGTTGTAAACTCACGCCTCTTCCACTTTTCAAATTTCTCTGCAAATATGTTGAAGCTTTTATACCCTTTTAAGCAAACAACTTATTATTTTCACTATGTTTCATCATTTTAAGTGGTTCTGTCTCGCAGAGATGAAAAGCAGCAGCTTCTTTTGGGTATCAGACGAGCTAACAGGCAACCCACCAATATATCTTCGTCAGTACTATCCAGTGATAGTATGCACATTGGAATTCTTGCCGCAGCGGCTCATGCAGCCGCAAACAGTAGCCCCTTCACCGTCTTTTATAATCCTAGGTCCTGCATTTTTCACATCCTTTGTTTTCATTTCGCAGTATTTATATCAATGCATAATTTCTTTGATTTCTACTTTCCTTACTTGTCTGTCTAATCGGATTTCAAAGGCATAGATTAGCTACTTTGTTTTGAGTCCCATCTTCTCAATCGTAAAGTTTTGAACTTGTGTTTCTTTTGCTTGCAGGGCTAGTCCCTCAGAATTTGTTATTCCTTTAGCCAAGTACTACAAGTCGGTGTACAGCCACCAACCGTCACTTGGCATGCGTTTTCGAATGATGTTTGAAACTGAAGACTCGGGAACGAGAAGGTACGTCATTTTAATTAATTCTATGGAAAGCGTTTACAGTAAATGTGTAAATGATTAAATTAAAAGTAATGTCTTCATGAAGTAAACATCGAAACGTGGGTGGTGTCTTGAATTTAGTTTGTGCTTGAATTTCTGTTTATTTATTTCTCAATCTAGATTAATTAGAATTGGCAACTTATGTAGCACTGAAGCAGCAGATACTTTACAGAAAATAGATATTATACTTGGAAATGGTTGACAATAAAACGTTCAATTAATCAATTCAATGGTATTGCAGGTATATGGGTACAATTACAGGTATCAGTGATCTGGATCCTGTGCGATGGAAAAGCTCTCAATGGCGAAATTTGCAGGTACCATTACCAACATCCTTTAACATTTCATGAATCTAATTTTACCCAGGAGATTTTTGTTTTCGAACTGTCTTTCTTTTCTTTAATCTGTGTAAGTAATGGTTGTTTAGTTTTACATTTCATTGGCCAGGTTGGTTGGGATGAGTCAACTGCCGGAGAAAAGCGTAGCAGGGTCTCAATCTGGGAAATCGAACCAGTAACTGCTCCATTTTTCCTCTGCCCGCCTCCATTCTTTAGATCCAAGAGGCCAAGACAACCTGGAATGCCGGGTAAATAGTTATACTGAGGAAAATTGAATTTGGTTTGATGATTGGAAATATATAGTTCATTCGGATACTTATGTTTACCTTTGCAGATGATGACTTATCTGATTTTGATAACATTTTCAAGCGGACAATGCCTTGGCTTGGTGATGAAATGTGCATGAAGGATCCCCAAGGTCTCCCTGGCCTGAGCTTAGCTCAATGGATGAACGTGCAGCAACATCCTGCACTGGCTAGCTCGTTGCAGCCAAATTTTGCACCTTCCTTACCGGGATCTATTTTGCAAAATATTCCTGGGGCTGATATATCTCGGCAGCTGGGATTTTCCGCTCCACAAATTTCTCAGTCAAACAATGTAGCCTTCAATACTCACAGACTACTTCAGACTGCTCAACAGCTGGATCAACTTCAGAAGCTACCATCTACATCTAGCACATTAGGAGCAGTCCTGCCACCACAGCAACAGTTGGGTGATATCAGTCAACAATCAAGGCAGAACTTGGCAAATCAAACTATACCTCAGAGTCAAGTTCAGGCCCAACTCTTGCATCCCCAAAACATTGTCCAAACCAACAATATTCTTCAACAGCAGCAACCATCCATTCAAAACCATCAAATGCATAGAAGCCTCTCTCAGAATCCATCACAGCAGCAGACAATTATAGGTCAGAGTCAACAACAAAGTTTGATCCAGTCCCCTATCCCTGATCATGTTCAACAATTACAGATGTCCGACAATCAGATTCAGTTGCACTTGTTACAGAAGCTTCAACAACAAAAACAAACGCACTTGGCACAGCAAACAGTGTTGCAGCAGCCTACTCAGCTTACTCAAATCCAGGATCAGCAGAGACAGATTTTAGATAAAACACATAACTTGTCTAGAGCACTAACACCTGGTCAAGTTCTAGAAATACCTCCTATGCTTCAAAATTCACTGCCTGAGGCTAATTCTATCTCTAATCAGATCACAAAGGCTAATTTCCAGAACAGTATTCAATTCCCTCAGCAGCCCAAGCTTCAACAGCAGCAACCTGGCTTGCTGTCTGAAATGTCTGGCCACATGGGACTTCTTCCTACCCCTACTACAAATAACCAACTTTCTGCTGCTGGCAGTGGTATACTGAATGGAGCAGCTGGGGCAGGGCAATCTGTAATTACTGATGATATTCCATCTTGCTCGACCTCGCCTTCTGCAAATAACTGTGCCAGTGCACTTCCACCATTGATAAATTCTCGATTGCAGAGAAACACAATAGTAGGGGATGACATGGCTCAGTCTGCTTCAACAATCTTGAGTTCAAGTGCGTTAGAAACTATGTCATCAAATGCAAACTTGTTGAAAGATTTACAACCGAAGTCTGAAGTTAAACCTTCTCTGAATATTTCCAAAAGTCAGAATCAAGGGCATTTTGGCCTTCAGTCATACTTGAATGGTAGTGCTGTCCATACTGATTGTTTGGACACATCATCTTCTACAACATCAGTTTGCCTTTCTCAGAGTGACGCTCATATGCATCAGAATAATAATCCATTAGCTTACAATCCACATCCTATGTTGTTTAGAGACAATAGTCAAGATGGGGAAGTTCAGGCAGATGCTAGGGGCCATATTCCATATGCCAACAACATTGATAGCCAAATGGGAATGCCACTGAATCCAGATTCCCTTTTAACCAAGGGCACATTGGGGTTGGGGAAGGATTTGTCTAATAACTTCTCTTCAGAAGCCCTACTTGGTAATTATGAAAATAACAGAGATGCTCACCAGGAACTTTCATCTTCAATGGTTTCACAGTCATTTGGAGTCCCTGATATGGCCTTCAATTCAATTGATTCCACAATAGATGATAGTAGCTTTTTGAATAGGGGTGCATGGGCTCCACCAGCAGCACCGCCTCCACCACCTCTGCCACCAGCACAGTTTCAGCGGATGAGGACGTATACCAAGGTTTATTTTTTGTTTTTATGGTTATTTTAATAATAGAGTTTCAGCAGATGAGGATATATGTCTTGACGATATGCGTGTATGCTTTTCAGTTTTAACAATTTTTTTTAACAATTTTTTGACAACAGATTACTATTTTATTGGTCCGTATATTTTAAATGGACCAATCATAAGCTATCACATATGTTGTTGTAAAAAAGTTGTTAGAGAGATATTTTCCTATTCTAAATTACCTTTTTTTCTTTTGGCCCTTTCAGGTATATAAACGTGGAGCTGTGGGAAGGTCCATAGACATAACGCGGTATTCAGGTTATGAAGAGCTTAAACAGGATCTAGCTCGTAGATTTGGAATAGAGGGGCAGCTGGAGGATCGGCAGAGGATAGGTTGGAAACTTGTCTATGTAGATCACGAGAGTGATGTTCTACTGGTGGGAGATGACCCTTGGGAGTAAGTCCAACTGTTTCCCTTTTCTCATTGGTTTGTCTTTTTGCATGTTCATATTCCTGGCTGGCAAGCCATAATGTTCCGTAGCTTTCGTTGACCTCGGTAGCCTATGGACCAGAAAGTTTTCTTCCACAGCTGACGCATTTTCCTCATTAGTACAATATAACAAATAATGTACCATTGTTCAAGTTGGTAGGCTTGAAGCGATCCCAAATGGATATGAATGTCTGGCAATTTGCCTTAGCAATTTTCAGCCTTTAATATTATGGAAATTAAGAGGAAAGCCAATTGCATTTTTTAGAATGGCTAAAATTTCAGATTCCAAAAGAATTGGACCAATATGTTTAAATTTAGAAAAAATCGTAAAACCTTAAATTTTTGTGATGGCAAGATTTGGTATCTTATTGTTTGTGATGGGTATTTCAGGGAGTTCGTGAACTGTGTCCGCTGTATTAAAATACTTTCTCCTCAAGAAGTGCAACAGATGAGCTTGGATGGAGATTTTGGCAATGGCGGCCTTCCAAATCAAGCCTGTAGCAGCTCTGACGGTGGGAATACCTAAATGAGAGTCAAATAATACACTAACAATTCTTGCATAGTGGTAACTTAGATTATTTCTGGAGATACATTATGATCCCAGTTCCCAATGGCAGTTATTTTACTACTGGGAACGTAAGCGTCCTACATAGATCTTCGAAGCGATCTTTTGCAGTTTGAAGAAGTTCCGGCTCTGTTCTGGGCATGCAAAATGCCGCTGGTGCTACAAATTCAATTAAGTTATTAAGGCCATAGATAGATGCGTTATTGTAATACTAAAAAAATTATTATTGTTGGCAAGTTCTCTGTATTGTAGAAAGAAAGGTTTGATATTACGCGATGCTTTTGAATGTACAGAGTTGAAGGTTTATTGGCCCTCTAGGAGGAATTGCTTTGTAAACGCTATGCAGCTAGATTTTGAGGAAGCTCTCACGATCTTCCATCCTTGCAGGCATCTTTGCCTAGAGGGACTGTGAAGTAGAGAAACTTCAAATGTTGTAAGGTCAAGTGGATACTGTTGCTTTGTTTGCTTGAAGCGTAAGGACTAAAAATGGTGGAGTTATGAGACTGTAAAGGAGTTCAATTTAAGTTTTATTTTTAACTAAATAAATAGTGAATTTTGTTTTTCTGAAAATTCTATAATGTGTTTGACCCTACTGTCCTTGGTTTGTCTGAGGGGAGCAGAGGAATTTGGCATTTGCAAATCGCATCTTTTGCATTTTAGAGACACAGACACGACATACATGGCGGTGGGGCTCTCGGTGCAACCTGCGAAGGTGACAAAATCTGGGTCATTCCCCAAAGGATTGATGGCATCAATCTTTTCACTCATCATCATCAAATTGATTTTCCCTTATTTTCTCTGTTTCACACCGCGAAATAATAAGTAACACATACGTATACAAATTTTAATTATAAAAAATAATTAATTTAATTTAAAATAACTAGTATTGTTATACTTTTAGAAAGTTGTACATCTTGTGCTCTGAACACCACTGTGATACATATTAAGAATTGTAATCACAGAAAAATACACTAATGGTTAAAGGGGAGATAAATTTATTTTGAATTTTATTTCCAAGATATAAATGATGACGAGTTCCGCGATTTTGAATGCCTCTAATGTAATCTTATATATTATCATATCAAATTCTAAAGTCATTTCAATTAATCATAAGAAATTATCATTACTACTTTGATTGTCAGAAAGCCAAGTTTTACTGTCACATATATTCTAATGAAATCTTGTATCCAATGTTCTTTTTTTTTTCATAATTTTTCTTTTTGCAAACTTTCATGAGTTGTTTGATTTTATGGATTTTTCTTTTCTTCAATTTTCTCACTTTAACTGACTCATTAAACCTCAATCATTAGTGGAAATTTGACCTTATTTATTCGAGCAGTTTGACCTTATTTCTTGTCGTGAAAAAACATATAACAAATCTAATTTTTATATTATTAAAAATTGTAAAGTGTTCAATTTCTGCATACTGGTAAAAATCATAATACTAAAATTATAATTAATACAGATTTTAAATTAATTATAACAAATATCACCAAACTTGTGGTTGAAAGTATAAAAGTGATATGCTATATTCACTTGTTAAAAAAACTCAATATATATACAGCCGTTGAAATAAAATAGAAAAAATCTAATGAAATTGAAAGACACATTTCTGGTGAATTGGATATACACTGTGAAGAAGATAAATCCAAAAAATATGGAAGAGAATGCAGAGTTGAAAAAGACAAGTGCATTTCTGGGGGAATATACTTGTAATGTTTATATTATTCCATAAACAATTGCTTCGATTTTCGTAAGGAAGGGTCTAGCTTAGCTGAGCTTAGCTTGAAAGACATTTATTGAGGTTGATGCTGCTAATTCTCAATTGAATCACAGAGATACAATAGTAGCAGTATGTGATAATAAAATAAAGCATCTGATTCATTATAATGTTGTGTACGTTGGTTGGTTGGTTCATGCTGCAAGAATAGGCACAGACACATTGAGGGCATTATTGTGTTTGTAGTAGTACTTGTCTTGCTCATGTTCGTAGTTTCTAATGTGAGCCTCACGGCATTGTGCACTACAAAACGCTTTCTCGCCTCTGCATTAAGACATTTAATTGTTAATTAGTTTCTTAATTTATTACATACAACTCTAATTACAGACTTAATCACAAAATCATGCTGAAGTCAAACTGCTGTATCCACAGTTACAGACAAAAACAAAAGTCGAATAGAACCTGTAAATGAAGATGTCGATCCCATGAAGATGTTTGTAGCAAAGGTTGCAGGAGTTGAGAAAATGAGGAGTGGGAAACAGAAAGCGGGTTCCAGTGTTGAGAGGGGAAGCATGGAAAAGGTCATAGCTTGTGGAAAAGTTTGCAGCAGGTTTAGCAGAGGAAACAACATCAATGGAGTTGTTGATGTTGGTCACACTCATGGCTGCCACTATTCCAAGCCCAACAACCCCTTTCTCCAAAACCATTCTATTCCTGTTCGTTGATGATTTTCTGGGATTAGAATTAGACTTCTCCATTAATTCTGAATGATATTGATGAAGCAGAAAGATTGAGCAACTCCGTCTCTCTTTCCTGTGGAGTCTCTTAAAAGAAAGAGTTAGAGCAGTGCATGAACGAATATCTTCACAAAAATCTAACTCACATGCACGCAGTGCCACAATTTCGGAATTGGGATATTAATGTTATATTATTGTTTTGTGGACTAAAACACTCGTAATGCATTGCCACAATTTATTTAATATTATTTTTTATTATGTTTTACTTTTATATTATATATTAAATGAATGTAAAAATATGTCGGTGGAGCAAGTGAGATAGATTCCAAACTTTATTTAATTGTATTTACAACTAAATATAATTTAGAAAAAGATTAAGCAATCGTTTTAATTTGTGTAAAGTGAAGAAGCCAATCGAAAGAGAGTTTTCTAAGAGAGTTGCATCAATGCTTTGGTTGTATTAATTGTTGAATATTATGAGAAACAAAGACAAAGTACGCTGAAAGTCCGATGAATTGGTGTTTGTTCTGTGCAATCAGTGCATCATTGTGGAGTGGATAGAATGAAGGATTGCAACATTTTCTCGAGAATTCTCCGAGGCTGTCAAGATCCATGATATGAAACAGGACTGAGTGTTGTGAATGATGATCCTGCTGCCTCATATCATATTCATTTCATGGGTTGAGGACTTCCAAAAAGCTGTGGTGCTACGCTTGAGCCTGAATATTTACCCACTTGGATTACAGTCTCCCCTGTGATGATGAGCTTGAGCGGCTTTCGTATCCAGAGAACCCCGACAAGTCACTCGTGTCCTACAATGCAAGACATATTCGTTCAGTATTTGATGATGAGGAAATTTAAGGAATCACAATCATTTCCAAGCAAAAACTAAGTGGAGCTGGCACTGACAGAATGTGTGGATGATGATGGGTTACTGTTTTCTTGGAATATACACCTCCACCGGCCGCCGCCCATTTCCTCCGGTTTCGAAGTCCAAACATCATCATAGGCGACATGCTTTCTTCAGCAAATGCCCTGAGCTTATGTGAGCTCGGCAAGACAAACTTTTCCAAGATCAGGTCTATCTGTTTCTCCTCATTCTGAACATCCCAGGGAAGCTTGCGAAAATGCATGGCATGTTCAACTGGCCAGTCCTCAACGAGCTGGGTCAAGCATCTCGGGAAAAGTCCCTTTCTCGATGGATCTCGAAACATGATGAGTCAAACCCATCGGAGGCCTCGCCGTCACCAATTGCAGAAGCATGATCCCCAGAGAGTATATGTCGGATTTGATTCCCAGCATGCCTGTTTGCTGGTACTCCGGGTCGATGTAGCAGAAGGTTCCGGCAGTGGAAGTCATGCGATACTGTGTCACGCTGTCAGCAACGGAAGGAGGCACCAGCCTGGCCAACCCCACGTCACTGATCTTGCTCACGTAGTTCCGGTCAAGGAGAATGTTGCCCGGTTTTAGGTCACGGTGGACCAGTGGCTCTGGTTTCGTCTGGTGGAGGAAAAGCAGACCTGTTGCTATCTCTGCGGCAATTTGGAACCTTAGCTGCCATGGAAGAGGAGGACGTGAGCTTCCTCTCCTGAACAAGCACTCATCCAAGCTTCCATTCGCCATGTACTCATACACAAGACAACCATACTCCGGACATGCCCCCAGCAACAGAACCATGTTTGGTATCCTTATGCGACCTCACACTTCTACCTGCATAAAGCAACCAAATTTATCATTTTAAAAACTTGTTCATGTTTTCCTTTTTCATATCTATCATGCAAATCGGTTTTTTTTTTGTGTGTTAAATTGCAAGAAACCATACTTCCTGTTTGAACTGTCGGCGCCCTTGAAGCTGCATATGGCTTTAAGACCTTATGGCAACCTGGGTGCAATCCAGTTCACTCCTGTAGACAGGACCATAACCTCCTTCGCCGATCTTAAGAGAGTCCGAAAACATGTTTGTCGCCTCTTCAATTTCCTCAATGGTGTACCTTCTGTACATGGCAGGGCCGTGTCCAAAGCTTTCACTCGGTTTCCTCCTCTCTACTTGGGTCATTCTCTTCTGTGCTTCCAGTGCGGCGATTTTTTCAAGGGCTTCTGCTCTGATTCTATCCTGCTCCATCTCCATGAATTGTACGGCCGAGGCATCAACCGTTTGCGAATCTTCCGATCTCTTCTGTTCTTCCGCTTTCCAACGTTGAAGCTCCATCGCCCTCTGCTTTGCAGTCATAGCTTCTTTGCAGGCCGAGCTGTACATATCCATCGTCTGCTTCAGTTCCTGCTTCAGCCTCCTCATCTCGAATTCAACATCATCCTGTAATTACAGAAAACAAAAACATCGACTTTTAATTTGCTTTCTTACACATACGTGCATGCATGCATTCTTGATTGCTATGTACGTACCGTGCAGTCTGATAACCTTGACTGCGAGGAGAAGGAGTAGTCATCAATGCTATTGGTTTGCGAGGACATTGAAGAAGCGAAGCTTCTGGTGTCAGAATCCGAAACACCCGAAAGCCTCCCACTCGCAGTGTCCAAATCGTCGTACATTGTCGGGAATATTCGATCGATGCTTGTGGCCTTCCGCTGCTCACAAATGATAATGTCAGATCCGGAAGTTTTGAAGACCTCTATGATTTTTCCAGCCCTTGTGAATGGTTGATCTGCAGGACCATATATACCAATAAACGGTGAAATCTTATTTCTACAAACAACTGCGCTAGTATTAATTAGCGTTTAATCGTGATCGTAACTTACATGATATCATCATCATCCAACACCATCTGGCGTATCCCACTCCCTTGTGAAGCTGCATTTAAGTAATTCAAATGAATTATATTTGTTATATATGGAACAGGTAGATAGAATGGCGTGATTGGATAGGCAAAATTGAAAATAAAGAGAAAAATGAATTGACATACTTTCGTGGTGGGTAGTTGCGGGTTGATGAGATTCAAAAAGTCCTTCAGGGGTTTCGCATCAGTGGCTGGTAGCGTGGATGCGGCTGTAGTGGCTGTGGCTGCAATTGGTTACGTGGTGCGGCAGGTTTAGGAGCCAATGGAGCAGTGGCAGATCTCACACTCGAGATTTTTCCTTTAGAAATTATATACACTGTGCAGAATGGTGGCGCTCCCTTTGACACAGAGCTTGGAACATCCGTTGTTCTAAATCTCCTGTCATGAATATTGATTTCAATGGGATCTGTTAGCAACCAAAACTAGAATTTCAATGTTATTAAGAAGATGATTATTGATAAAGGAGAAAACGTTCTTTACCTAACAATGCCACCCCTTGATGGCGCCCCAAGTACCAGAAACTCGATGGCATCACAGAACTGTTTTCCAATAATGCCTAATATATCCATGGTCCCTTCCCAACAAACACTTCTCTGCATTGTATCTGTCGAAATAAACCCAATCAACAATTTTAGTATCTTGTTCATGAACTAGTTCTGAGATATCACACCGGTTTTTCACGAAACTAACACTTTTTCTATTGCAGAAAACTCTAACCGATTGAAGAGTTCCCCCTTGGATTCGTTGCACCCACATCTCGTTTGGTGGAATTCCCTGCATTCAATCAGGCATTGAAGTCAAAGGAATGTGTATATGCATGTCAACATGAAGTATTTTCTTTTTTTCTTTTTAAATATTAATTTTAAGTACTTCCTAAGAACTTATTTAGATCATAGAATATTAAACATTATGTAAAGGTTTGAATGAGATATGGAACAACCTGAGGATGATTTTTGTCTGACATGGATGAGCAAGAGACATTGATCCTTGGGAAGAAGGTTGTCGACTGCCCACTTGGCAGCATGTTGGCTGGTCTTTGTTATTCTCAAATGGCCACAGCCACCACACGTGTCCTGCCACCAAGCTTCTTCTCTGAGTTCATCCATCCTCGACATTTGATTTTTCCTAGAAAAGATTTGTCGGAGGATTTTTTGAGAAATTATTGATACAGCATTGTGGTTGATGACATAAATATAAGAATGGAGAATTGTGCTTGTCGTTGGTTTGCAATTTGTTGATGGGTTCCAAAATTAGCAGTTTTTGTAGGAGCTTTAGCGCAGCAACCTTCGTTTTGGGAATGTACAGTTTGGGTTGCAGTTATCTTCTCTCACATCACCAAATCCTTGATCACTTTATAAAGGATTTAGTCAAATTCCAGACAAAAATGTTCTCTACATCAACTACAAATATAGATATAGTTGCTTCTAGTTAATCCTTAAATTTATTAATGTGCACATTTTAGCTGTGTTCAACCCTCTATTTTTTACAACAATGATAATGTCCCTTGTGTGAGAGTTACTTTTTAATTTCGACTTAACTATGATAAATTTTTTAGGAAATCTTGCATAGACACTCATCTAGCATACGCATTCGGTCATAATTAATTAAAATAAAATTTAAAACACTCACTTTCACATTTTGGTACATACAAGATATATATTTATGTGTTTTTAAAATCATTTTTAAACCGAAAGTTTAATTCAAAATGAAAGTTTAGTTTTTTCTTTCTTTCGAGTTTTTCATCATTCCATCACTAGTCTCAACCTTTTTTCACTTTAACTGAAAAGTAATCCCCAATAAAGTTTCAGATATAAAGAGTATTATAACATGAAGTACTAAACTATTTATATCTATAATAAAAAATTTCAGTTTTCTCACCGACTATACATGCAAGCGTTAATTTACACTCAAAATATACCCTTTGGAGATGAGTTTTACATTAATTTTCATATAAAACTACTTCCTAAAATTAGAAACATGCATGTATTTAGTCTTTAAAACAGACAACAATAAATCTAAATTTAACCTTAGTATTTTATTCTTATTGTAAAATTGATTTCAAAGTACATACTGCATTGCAACGTAAATGCGAATTTGTTACTTTGGTACGCTAATTTTTATATTATTCCATTCGACACTTAACTTTGCGGTCAAATTAAACAAATTTAGGACTACAATGATTTAGGTTTATTTAATATTAAAATGATTAATGTGTTCTAATTCTTGAAGTATTTTTTTACGTAAAATTAATCACAAAAGTGTGTTGGAATTATTTATGCATTATTTTATTAGCTCTTCAGTCATACCTTTAAAAAACTGAAAC